CTTGTGATTTGATCTGTAAAGTGCTAACCACTGCATTATGGACCTACAGATTACATATATTTAAATTATTTTTTTTATTTAAAAATTACAATTTCCATCTATATTAAATTTATATTAAAAAATAATTAAAGTTTTGATTAATTATTTTTTTAGATATTAAATTTAAATTTAAAAAAATTTTTAACAATATATTTTATAAAAAATCTTTAAGTAATTTTATTTTTTAAGTTTTAAAGAATATATATTAAAATTTTTATATTATTTAAATAAGTTTTTATAAAGTTATAGTAAAAATATTAAAAGTGATTTTTTTTGTTCCGAACTGTATATATATTAGGACTAAGGTACAATACATGTGAGAATTTTTATTGTAAATCTTAGTTACAAATAACCATTACATAAATAGTCTTAGCTATTGCTAATTAACCAACAATCCTGCTCTAGTTCTAATTTGAATACTAATTTATACTATAAAAGTAGGTTCATATTTAGACATGGACCACTTAAAGAGCTTTGTATTTGTTAATTATTATTAGGTTTCTTATCACATACCCTTTAATGCTTTACTTATAGACAGTATCTGATGGTCTTACTTTATTTATACTTTCTAGTAAATGCTTCTAGAGTAGTTCCTATAGTTGGTATATACTATTAAATCAGTTACAAATTATATTTAAGTTACAAATCTATAATATTTTTTTTTTTAAACTAGCTTAACCTTGCTTAGCAAACTTTATTAAAGTTAATATTTACATATATTCGTATACATTTCTGTATATAAACTATGCTATAACATTAATTGATAAGTATATGCTAAACTATATCAAGATTTCCTAGATATCGGCTATTGCTATCAACTTTTTCTAATGGATAGAAATTGAAACTAATGTGACAAGGTATCACTATTGTTAATGTCACTAAAAAAAATTGTTTCTCGTTATTTTGTCTATATTTTTAATCCATCTTTCCAGCAATTTCCTCCCCAAGTTCTTTTTCCTATTTGCTATTATTTCCTTTTTTTCTCTGTCTTTTTCAATTTTTATTTGATATGATCCATATTATTACTTTCTTTTGTTTGCTCTGCTGATGTTGTTTATTTCTTTCCATTCTGTGATTTCTTTATATCTTTTTTTCCATAGCTCATTGATTACTTTTGTTGTTCTCTCAACAATTCTTCTATGTACTTCTTTTGTTTTTTCCCTTGCAAACTGATATATATATAAGGTTATCTATTTGGTCAGAATTCTCTTTACTATATAGTTTCTTGTACACCCTGAGTTCATAATTAATGACATTTTTGATTTTGGGTCTTCTTTTTTTTTTTCTTTGTTGCAATTTCTTTGACATCCTTTGGTTTCTTCTTTTATTATCTTTTTGTATTCATCTGTTATCTTGTATTGCCAGTGTTTATGCATTAAGTGCTCTAGGCTTTCTTTTTTCTTGCATTCTGGGCATTTGTTTGATTTGTAAATATCTGGTCTTCTTTCTGTTAGGCTATCCAGTGTAGGAAGTTTGTCATGTAATCTGTACCTGCTTCTTCTATATGTGTGATCTTCTTAACTTGTATACATTTTAGTTATTCTGGATTGGTATTGTGCTTTCCAAGTAAAGTGCCAGTCTATTTGTAGCTTGTCTCTATACTCAATTTATACTCTGTTTCTTCTCTGTGTTATCCAGTTTGTCATCTATTTGGTGTTTTACATATTTTTCAGGAATTCTTTGATATTTGTGTCTAATTGATATCCTCTTCAATTTAGTGTTTCCCATGCTATTGCTTTTGAATTGGCTGTTATAATTGCTTCATTTTCTTTGTTCACTCCTTCTTTTGCCAGTTCATCTGTCTTTTCGTTGTTCTCTTTTTCCTAGTGTGCTTTGACTTTAATAAATATTGTTGTTCTTGTCTTTCTTTAATAATTCTTTTAATCAGAGTTTTTGTTATCCAGTTTGCACTTTTATAAATTTGATGGCTTCCTTTATTTTCTTTTTGAATTCCTTGAATAGCTGCCTAGCTGTCTATATATATTTCAACTTCTGCTTGAACTGGGATTGTAACTAGCATGGTTAAGATTGCTATCAATTCTGCTCTTGTTGATAATAGAAAATGTTCTATACGACTTGAGTATGTGACTTTCTCTCCTGTTTCTTGATTGGTTATGTGATATCCCACTCCCATCTGGTTTGGTTAGTTGCTTCCTGGACTATTGAGCCATCTGTGTATGCTTTTATTCTTCTCCAACTTTCTGTTTGTTTAGTTATTTTGGCTAGTTCTTTTTTATTTAAGCTGCTGGTTTGTATGTATTTTGTGATTTTGTCTTCTATTTCTGTTTGTTTTCCACCAATTATGATGTTAATTCTGATTTGTGTTTTGTTTTCTGGATTTTGTATATTGTGCATTATTGTGCCTGGTGATATTTGTATTCTGTCCAGGTGTCCTAAGATCTAACTGTAAAGCTTTGCACTATGTGCGGTTTTGGTTATTGAAATAATTATTGCCTGGTCTATTTTGATTTCCTTGGTACACTTCTTTCTTGTGTTGTCTCTGTAGTCACACCCTTGACACTTGTCTATACATGTTGCTAAAATTCATAGATCCTTGACACAATTAATTGAGTCATTATTAAAATATATAAATAATTGAGTCATGACGCAATTATTTTTGAGAATTTTGGGAATTAAGTCAACAACAAAATAATTTATGCCACATGTATAATTTATACTATAACTTATATCTTTACTATAGTATATATTTATCTCATATATTTTTTTTTGATTATTTATTTTGCAAAAAAAATTTCTTATATAATAATTTTTATTAAAAAATATTATATATTTTTTATTACAAATGAGTTTTAATTTAAAGACTTAGAAATTTTTAAAATAATTGATATAATAGAATAGAATTTTTGATTAAAGTCTATTTAAGTTAGAAAATCTTATTTATCTTTTAATTATATAAAGAAAAATTTATGGCAATTTACTTTTCTTTTGTTTTCTTATTTTCTTATTTTTATTTACTATATTATAAAAATTATTTATATTAATATCATTATATATATTAAATTAAATATTTTTAAAAAAATATATTTAAATAAAGTTATTAGATTTATTTTATTTTATTTTTTTTTTTCGGGTGCAAAGGTGCTAGTAGCATATGATCTTTTATTAAGTGATTTATATTCAATTACATAACTACAAGATCTATTTAAGTTAACCTGTCCCTCTACCTATAGCCTTATCCAGTTATACGAGTTTACTATCGCGAGGATGGGTCCACATATCCGGATGGGATCTTTAGGAGATAGAAATGTTACTATTAACTTATAAATTATCCAACCTAATTTAAAGCCTAGCGGTTGTCATATTTTGTTAAAAAATTGAAATTAGTTTATTTTCTTTAAATAATTATTGCTCTTTAATTATCCAATCAGATTTTGTCAAATATTAAAACAAAAACCAAATCAATTTAAACTGGTTTTTTAATACAATTATAATAACTACTATCAAAATAATAAATAATATCAATTATACTTTATTATTATATTAAAAAAAAACAAAATTAATAAGTAACAAAATAAATATTTAAGTTAAACTGATATTTTCTTAAGAATATTACTTTTATATATATATATATCTTATAGTTTAATTAATTCAATTTTAGTTTAAGTAATTTTTGTTATTATATATATTTTTCTTTTTTTATTTATTTTATTCTTATATCTTAATTTCAAATTTTTTGAATAAATAAATATAATTACCAATTAATTATATTTAATATATACAATATTGTTTTAAAATTTATTTTCAATATTGGCTAGATATAGATTGTATAGATAAGCTAATATATAGTATAAATAGAATTAATTATAAGAAACAAGTTTACTTAGTACATAGAATTTGTTTTTATTAATAAAATAAAAAGTTTAATATATGATGACTATTTTCAATTACTTATAATAATTTTTAAGTGATCTTTCATTTATTGGAAAGGACTGTAGATAAAATATAATCTTTTATAACAATTTACTATTTATATAAAACTATACAAGTTTATACAAGTTCAAAAACAAAACTTTAAATAAAACTTTAAAACTTTAAATAAGAGACTTGAATAATTTGATTCAAAATTTACAAAACTTATAACACTATTGGTTGTAAACATATCTCAAACAAACTATATTAGAATGAATATTTTTTATCATATTTAGTTTTTCTCATTGTAGTTAATTCTAGCTCTTCTTTTACTTAATTTAACAACTGTTTATACACATATTTTCAATCATAATAAATAAAATTGAAAAGTAAACGACATATAAAAGAAATAGACAAAAAAATCGAAATAAACTGTGATAAACCATATAAACCAAATTAACTATAAATGCCATAACCAATATTCTCACTATATAATCTAATTAACTCGAGCCATTTCGCTATTCCAATAATATTAATTTCTCAAATAATCGTTAGGATCGTTGCGTCGAGTTTTCCTCTTACAATAATCTCTTTAAAATATATAATTTTCATTGATATTGTTTTTCATTATCTGCATAAATATTGATTATATACATGTATATACAGTATATATGAAAATTGTTAATATAAAAATTATCAAACTTATTTTGAATAGTAATATTTTTATTAGATATTACCGAAAGTTTAATAAATGATATTGAAATATTACATATATGAATTGTAATGTTAAATAAAATTCTCAAAGAAAAACGATTTGACAAGGGTTTATTAATGTTAATGTATTCCTATAAATTTCTCGGAATTTTTGATAGTTTGAGAAATTAATCTCATGTACGAAAAATGTGTACTGTGAATGTAAAATGAAGACAAAATACAATAAGATAGTTGCAACATGCAATAATATATGAATCAGCAATGAAGTTGCCCGAACTTTCACTGTTAATTTTTTATCATTCTGTACTTTGTTTTCAAAGTCTAGCATTCATATTTCACTTTCCGAGAATGAAGTATCGATTTTCTCTAAGTGATCTTTAATCGTCGTCTTTGGATAAAAATATAATACTATTGTTAGAATTTTCCTAAGATTAAGATTAATAAAATCAATATTATTTGGATTCTAACCTTTTCGCAGATAGTTCGTTTGGGTTAAGTTTACATTTGCTCCTCCAATATTGACATTTTCCGTTAAACTAACTTTACCATTAGAATCGGCCTCTAAAGTAGTTTTTCCTGGGAGGTTGATTTTATCTTTGAAGTCAAGTTTTCCGTCGGAACTAATCGTGGCGCTGACATTTTGCCTTTTTAGTAGTTCTTTGATTTTTTTTATAATGGAAGGCATCGTTAATTTTTTGTTTATGGTATAATTTCTAATACTTGTGATAATTGGGATCTGGTAATTTTCGACGACTTTTTAAACTAATTCTAACATTGATCCTACATCCATAAATATGTATTGCTTATCAAAGCAAAGAATTGTTGGTATACCTTTATTTAATACTTAGAAGATTCTTCCTTCAGAAAAATTCGGCTTCAGATTACTGTATTTGTACGCATCGTTAATTTTGTGCTACGACTTACGTAACCACATTTCATATGTTCGAAATATTAAATCTAGAACAAAAGATTAATTGCAAATTAAAAACAGGTTTTCCAGGTATAAAAAGGCTAAATAAAATTAAACGTTCTTTGTTTGACTTAAACCTTGAGTATATTAGATAATAAAAAAATGGTATTATTGTTTACTGTAATGAAACGCTTTTGAAACAATGTAACGCATTCCCTAATTAATATTTTTCACGTGATAATTTAAGGTTCGAAAATTTAGAATTATTATTTATTATAAAATAGCATTAGAAGCAAAACTTTATTGATATATATTATACTTAGATTACGTCAAAAAGTAAGTTTTGTAAATTAATGTTAACCTATTTACAATACTAACTATTAGTAGCAAAACATTTTATTTTATTTAAAAAACAATATATTATAAAAAATTATTTTAATAAATAATTAATTTAAAATCAAAATTTATTAATTATATTATTTTACATGTACTATATAATTAGATTTAATTATCATTTTAAAAAAACCTTTCTTATTAATTATTATAAATACATATATATTTGTTTTTTATTTAAGATAAATAATAATAATAAATTTAATAATAAAAAAATTTAATTTATAAAATTTATAAAAAATTAATAGTAATTTAAAATTTTATTTAAATTTAAAGAAAATATATAATTAAATATGATTTGATATAAAGTTTGTAATATTAAATTAATTATAAATAGTTTTTTATTAATTTTTTAATTACTTTTTCTTAAATAATTTTTACAAATTATATATTTTTAAATAAAAAAATTAAATAAAGTATTTATTATTTTTAAATAATATTTTAAAAATTAAAATAATAAAAATTATAATAAAACTTTTTTTATAATTTTTTATTAATTCAAAACAAATATTTTTAAAAAATTTTATATTTTTATAATAAAAAAATTTATGTATTTTTTTAATAATATTAATTTTTTAATTAATAAAGTAAATAATAATAATTATTTGTAAATATTACAATAATTCAATTTGAATTGGTTTTAATCAAAATTAAATCTGATCTGATTATTTTTTTAAATTAATCTAATCTAAAAACTAATTAGTTTTAATTTAAAAACTATATAATATTTTTATATTAAAAAAAGTTATAAACAAAATATTGTTTATAATTAATAAAAAAACTTTTTATTAAATATAAAAGAAACCAAGAAAAAAACCTTTTTATATAGATAGTTTTTTAATATAAAAAAATAAAATGAAAATATAAACTAAAATAATATACAATGGTGAACAAAACTTTTTGATAAAAATAATTTTTACTTAATTAATTATATTTCAAGAATTATTTAAAGAAATTAAATAAAAAATTATTTATATATAGTTGAAACTATAAAAAACAAGTTTACTTAATAACCATTTATATAATATATTATTAAAATATTATTAAAATATTATTTGAAAAAATGTTTTTAAATTTTTTTTTAATTTTAAAACTATTATAAAAAAATTAACAATAAAAAATTAATAAAATTATTTAATTAAAATAAATAAATTAATAAAATATTTAACCAAATGAAAAAATTCTTACCCGTTCACCACTGATTTTTTAAAATTTCTTTTTTAGAAAATCTTTTTCCAAGAAGTGCTTTTTTTTCTTTACTTTTTTAAGGTAACTAAGCTTTAAACAAAGGATATAAAAACTTAAAGAACATTGTTACAGTGGGATATAACCTCTAATCAAGACCTAAGCAAGTTGAAAATCTTCTTTAACTCTTGGTTATATAGGAAAAGACTTATAACATTTTTTCTTTATAATTTTTGTCTTTAAAAACCTTTCCTTCAATATGACTACTATAATCACTTTTTTTTTTTTTCCTATTTTTCTCTATATTACAAATATATCTTTAACTACACATTCAAACAAAGTTACTGAATCTAATGTTTGTCTTAACACAACCTTTACAAATTTTTTATTTATTTATTTTTTTTCTTTTCTTATTAAAAACAACAATACATATTGCTTTCTTATTCTATTACCATCTCAAAAAAAAAAAATCTTTTTAACTTAAAAACTATATTCAGTTCTACTTCATCAAAAGATTAATACTTAATAAACAATTAATCAAATTTTTTTTTACTCTTTTAATAACAAAACCAAATTTATTTAAACCTATTTTTTAACCAATTTCTTTATTAAAATACTTATACACTAATAATAACAACAATAATAATAACAATAACAACAATTACAATTAATTAATAGCATATTGGATTAAAAGAGTATGTGACTGTGCCTTGCACAGGTTCTAATAATCTTCATAAACAAGTATCAAAATAACATAACAAGATTGAAACAGGTTCTATATCAGACTTACTATTATCTCAACTATACCACTAACCTATAAACCACACAACTTTCTATAATCATCATTAACAATGAAATTGTAATCCATAAGCAACAATGCTACTATTAAAGAAAAAAGACAACCTAAGCCTAACCAATATGAATAAAAATAAAATATTTTCATTAAAAGTGAAAGTGAAATATCAGGGAGTTGTGTCATGTAATCTGGTAACTTAAGTCAATACTTTTCTATTGTTACTGAAATCATATCCAGCTATCAAAAGGAAACAGTAACCTAGGTAAACATACTTGGTTTGTGTCCTGTAGAAGGGATTGTTAACATAAAAGATAATTACATTCTAAACTCAATACTTACTATCACTACTTTATTTCTAATTTCTTAACTATATCCAACTTTCAAGAAGTAATTAACTCTAACTTCAAATTAACATATATAGTAACTTCCTATCAAAAATTTTCAATCTCCAACTTTCAATACTTTTACATTCCTTTACTTATACTATAGTAATCTCACCTTCAAATTTATATATATATAATTTTTTTGTTCTTATATGTAAATAGTTCCTTTCTTAACTTTTTCCCTATTTAAGAGTTTTTTTATTAGAAATATATCTACTATAATAAGTGGTAGACTAATATATACATAGTTTTAGTTTGTCTATATATCTCGTATCTTAAAAATTAATCATGTAATAATAATAATTACATATTAATAAAGATCATGAGATATGTTTCATCTTAATAGTAAAAAAAATTAAATTTATAAAATAAAAAAATATAAAATTTTAATAATATAATTTCTATACTATAAAAACTATTTGATAAAAATTTTATTATAATAAAAATAAAATATTTTTAACCAGAATTTATATATAAATTTATAAAAAATTTTAAACTTGAAATTTTTGATTTAAAAATTAATTTTACAATAAAATTTATATTAATTAATTATAAAAATTAGAACAATCTATTTTTTAACTATTAAAAAATATATATTTAAAATTGAAAATTATTTAAATAAAAATTTGTATATTTATAACAAAAATAATTTTTCTAAAAAATTTTGCTCACTACTATAAAATTTTATTGGTCTTTCAAAAATTATATGTACAGTATGAGTCATATATTTTTGGAATTTTTTTAACTTTGTATTTTATCTTAATATTAAATAAAAAAATC